AGCCTAGAATTCAATAAAAATAACACCAGGGAAATTGCTGTAACACATTGCATAAATCGCACATGTTTAAAGTAGGGAGCACCTTACAAAAGCAGACACGACATTAATGATAACATGTTGCAGTTAACTCACAGACTGCCCCTGCAACTCATGTAACTTAATTGCCAACTGCCAGTTTGCAGAAGCATCTTTACAGTATTTTAAGGCAACATCTTATAATTCCTAAAAATTTAAGAGAATTGAAATTTATTTGAATGAGGTCTGGTTTTCCGTATCAATATACTATAGCGTACACCCACAAAAAGAGTAATCGCTCATTTTTTGTGAACATTAAAACTGAGATGCTAATACCTACTCCAAACAGTGTGCCTTCTATAAGTAAAAGTAGAGTAATATGCATTTAGAATAGTAGGTACAAGAGTTACATAGCTTATGTTGTTGTAGCAAGCGGGAAATAAAGTTTTCTTTCACAAATGAAGGGACAATTCAGCATTTCAGGACCTCGAAACCCAGTTCTAGCCAGTGAAACTGTAGTATTGTCCAATTTTTCTTTAAGGAAAGTTTAGGAATTTTTTCATTGTTTATTTTTTATGCTTTCTTTTCTTTGAAAAAAGAATCTAAAAAAAGAATCTTACATGTAACACTATAGCTATCACTAGAGCCAGATCTGTTTAACCTCTCGAGTGCCAAGTCAGATAACAATCATGTAGATTGTTTCAGTATGCTCCTGTTTTATTTATCTATTAAATATAACCTAATCTAGATAAATAAAACATGGATAATGGGTATACCAAAACACGCACATTCTGCACATTCTCAGTATGTAGAGAATTGTTAGAGAAATGTTAAGATTAGTGTGCATCAAGAATGCATAGCAATATCTGGGTGTGGAAGCATCAGAAGGAAAAACCAGCTGGAGAACAGTTACAAGAATGGCCTGTATTCATAGCACCTAGATTAGCAGGTCATCAAGATCCTAGCACACATCTACCTACAGTTGAGCAGAACACCCAGGTGAGGAGGCAAAGGGCAGTGAGTAAATCCCAAAGACTTGCCAAAGTGGGACAGGATGGTGAAAATAATCACGGTCAGGTTAGAAAAAGGTATATCCAAAACCAAGATGTGGGAAGAAGGTATAAGTGAATGACTGAAATCAGTTTAGATTTAAAATAAATCCACTTGCCACTCCTAGGAGGTCTTGCATTGTTGCTGTAATGTTGCAACATTATTTCCTACAAACTGTGCATATTTTATTCTTTAGCATCATAAAAGCAAATAATCGATTCCCTGTGTTCACAGCGTTTTCTACAAAAACACATTGAATGAATTTACCTGTTTTGTTATAATTGGGCTAAGACTGAATTTAGTATTTTTGGATTACACTCTCCACTAACTCCCAGAACTATACAAGCAGATCCTCAGCTGGTATACATTGCTACAGCTTCATTAAAATCAAGAGAGCTACAACAATCTACACCAGCTGTGGGTCTGCTACATTAATTTGTTATTGGGCAAAGGCAGAACTCAGCTGCTTGCATTCTTGCTCCAGACCAGGCCAGAGGTTTCATGAAGAACGGACTGCTAAGACTGGATATACTTTAAAATGAAAGAGACGCTTTAAAAAGAAAAAGATATATCATCAGGTGATCTGCAATTATTACATGATGAATAAATTTTCTGAATAGCTTTACGAGATGCTTGTGGCAAACATTATGCACTTTTTATAGCTGGGAAGTTGACATCTTAGAAGGCTAAGTGACTTGTCTGTGGCCATATAGTGTTTCCAAGCTTTCAGCTGTAGGCTGTCCCAACCTTCGTTTTAACTACGAGACTTGGCTGTCTTTCAGTGAGGTTAATAAATGATTGTATGCTATTAAAGTAATGATCAACACTATTTAAGCTGTTTTCTTGACCATTTAAGCTTAACTGCAAATAAATTTTGTTCTGAAGTGTTAAAATTTGGTTTATGTGTTGCAAACTAGGTCAGATATTATTTAGTACCACCGGCGATGAGACTGATTTGATTTCTAATACTGCTCAGCTGAGAAGTAGTGGTTGTTCTACAGACAGTTGTTTCTAGATAGCAAAAACCACATCTCAGGGACAGTTCTGCAGAGATACTAGGGCCTGCAAAATTATCTTATGCTTAGGCCTGTAAATGCCGCCAACTTCTCTTTCATTAATGTATTCAACATTCATCTGAGTAAACAATTTTTTTTTTATATAGCAATAGGATATCTGTCTTTATTCACCAACGGTGAGGGAAAGGTCATTGGGTGTATCTTCTATCCAAAACCAGAATTACGATGATCAATTTCTATGTTTTGTTATTGTTTAATCAGCTGGCATTATACTGCAATGGCTTGTGCTACATAAGCTACACATCAGTGAAAGATGAACCTGAATCCCAGGTTAATTCATTCTTTTAAAAAAAGAGAGAGACATAAATTACTACTCTGATTCTGTCTTTCTCTTTGTTTCATTGCAAGTAGGAAGAGTTCTGCCCCATGAGTGAGGACCACAGGACTGGGCAAGGGTGAGGTCTTCAGCGCAATTAAGTGACGACTAGGTACCTACATCTTTTATTGGGGCTGTTTCGAGCAGCCTGCTAGCAATCTGAAGGTAACTTAAAAGCTCAAAACCAAACAAAATATCTCAGCAAAGAAATGTGGGTGAAAACTTTTCTCTGCATTGGTGTTGACACAAGACAAAATGTGGGCAGATCTTTTCTGAACTACTTTATGAGTAGCAGGGATTTGGATCATGCACATGTTGGAAAAGAAAGCTGAAATTTCACCTTGTAAGCTAAGTTCCTCACTGCCACCTGGTTCTCAGCTTTCTACCAGCAAGCTTGTCCAAAGTTTTGAAACAGCCATGCTGTTGGGAGTTTCCTCAGCACACATGATTGCCTCTTGAATTCCCAATAGGGCTGGAAGAGGGTACTCAACACACAAAGCAGAAAGACAATACAAATTACTGCAGCCACCTCATCTGCTGGAAACTGGAGAAATACGGTGGAGACATAGTGGCTGTTCTGTGCCAATGCAGCTGCTCTCTAGGACAGTTTCTAGGATACATCTCCCTATTACACCAGGGGGTCCAGCCTTCCACTGATTTAAATCCTTGATTTGTTGTCTGTTCTGTTCTGCCCTCTTCTTCCATTCCTCCTCCTAGGAGTCAGATCCCAACCTCACCCATCGCACAGAGGTGGAATCTCAGAAAAAGGACAGCTGAAAGGAAAGTATGAGTGAGCTGGCACTCCTGTTTTTCTAAGAAATTAATGCTGCACATGGAAATAATTATTTTTATTTAATTCCAGTCTGCGTGAACAAAAGAAAGAAAATAAGCAAAGCTCTTAGAAAAATGCATCTATATTAAAAAATAAACCTTTAATAAAGTGTTATCTAATAGAATGACTTATTTTGTCTTCAGTGTTGCAAATTCACTCACAAAGATGGTCTAATCAATTATCTGGTTTTTAAAAAGGTGGATTTTTGTGGGTTGTCTTTTTTTTTTTTTGAGAGGAAAGCATAAAAGACATCTTCTACTGATCCTCTGCAACTCCTGGGCTAGGGCAGATTTCTAGGGGAAAAAAAAAAAAGATCTACAGCCTGTCATTTTATGTGAAAATTTTGATAAGGGGTTTAAGATTTGACTAACAGAGTCCATACTGAGCTGTACACACAGGTGGCTGAGTCAAAACCCTGGTGACTAGGAATTCTCTGTCCCAATGGGGCTACAACCTCACCAGCCTCATCCATGTCCTTCTGTTTTATTAACAGACTTTCACGGTGAATCTCTTACACTTTGCTCTGACATCTGCGTGTTCTTTTATAAGGTAGAATCACAGACTCATAGAGTGGTTTGGGTTGGAAAGGACCTTAAAGATCATGTAGTTCCACACCCCCCTGCCACGGGCAGGGACACCTTCCACAAGACCAGGTTGCTCAAGGCCCCATCCAACCTGGCCTGGAACACTGCCAGGGATGGGGCATCCACAGCCTCTCTGGGCAACCTGTTCCAGTGCCTCACCACCCTCACAGTGAAGAATTTTTTCCTTATGTCTAACCTAAATCTACCCTCTTTCAGTTTAAAGCCATTACCCCTTGTCCTATCACTACGTGCCCTTCTAAAAAGTCCCTCTCCAGCTTTCTTGTAGGCCCCTTTAGGTACTGGCAGGCTGCTATAAGGTCTCCCCGGAGCCTTCTCTTCTCCAGGCTGAACAACCCCAGCTCTCTCAGCCTGTCCTCACAGGGGAGGTGCTCCAGCCCCCTGACCATTTTCATGGCCTCCTATGGGCTCGCTCCAACAGATCCACGTCCTTCTTGTGCCGGGCACCCCAGAACTGGATGCAGGGCTCAACTGTAAATGGTTTCTGTCTCTTTCTGGATGTTTTCAGCCCTTTGCCCGCTGTTCCTCTGAGGTAACCTCAGCCAAGCTGCGCTCACCGAGGGGGCTCCAGCTACTGCAGGGATCCCGGTCCGTCCTTCAGCCCATGAGCTCCCGCACTCCTGCAGAGGAGGCAAAACTCTGCAAAACCGTTACTTTTGTGTGCACCTGTTACTGAAGGTCTTTTTAGACTTCCCAGCCAAACGTCTACTTTTCCCCTTCTCTTCCAGGCACCACTTCCCGGCCTTTGAGGCCGGCGGGTTTGGCCTTACGGTGCAAGAGGGTAACGGCGCCAGCACGCTTTAGTTGCAACCCGCAAAACCACCGGGAGTCCGCTACTTGCGTTCGGGGCCGAAGGAGAAACCGTGTCTTATTTGTAGGGAACAACGTGCCACCAGCGACTGATAATTCACCGGCAGAGCCTGGGGGCGTTTTCTGCCCGGACAGAAATAAAGCCGGGGGGCACCTTCCCCGCCCTCCGTCCCCCGGCCCGGCCGCAGCCCGGCCCGGCCCGGCGCCTCGGAGCGGCGGAAGGCGGGGCCGGATTGCGCGGGGGAACGGAAAGCTCCGGCCCGGGTTTCCCGGCGTCCCGGTGCCATCCGGGGGGAAGAGTTTAGGCGGCCGCAACCCCGGGAGGGATGAGGAAGGCGGAGGCGCGGTAGCTGCTTCTCCAGGTCGCTCCCTTCTTCGCCCCCGGTCCCCGCTTGCCGCCCTTCCCCTGGGCCGGCGGTCAGCGCCGCTGCGGCCTCCGCGGCGGCCCCGGGGCGC